GACACCTGAAGAAGGCTCCACGGCCGAAATGTTGTGTTCTCTTTCTTCCTTTTTTCAGCATGGAATAAACCTATTACTTGTTCCTTTGCAGCCTACGCATGCTGACGCAGCTACCCACCTGAACTATAAAAAGAAGATAACTTATTAATTATCATATTATTATTAATATTAATAACTTATTAATATTTGGGAGAGGCACCTTGGGCAGAAACTACAGACATGAGTCTTCTTGTGTACATCTCCACCAGCTTTGCAGTAAAAATCCCACATTTTGTGAGGCACCCAGCAAATTGTTGTCAAATGCCCAGTTTCTCCCATCTCAGCCTTGGAAGACTGATTCCTTTAGAGATGTGATAGGCCTTTTGGTGACCTCTCTGACTCTTGCCCTTCTTGCCTGGATACGTGGTATTTGAGGATGCCCTGTTCTACACAGTTCTGCAGTTGTCTTTCTTCACATCTTCTCCATTTCATGTCTGTTTCTTCTTCGCTCCTGGTTTTTACAACCAACCGTTCAAAAGTGCCACATGTACATCCTCTCTCCTGCTTCCTTTTTATTTTCTCGCACCCACTGTAGAATTTTCTAAATCTGTCCCTGTCTCTGCTTGTGCTCACTAGTTTTACACCAGCTCACTTTTTTTCCAAGCTAGTTTAGTAAGGCCGCAATCACTTTTAGCTTGCAACCGATGGCCTATGACTTAGTGTGGGGCTAACTTAGTGTGTTCTGAATAAAGCATCTGCTCTCCCACTAACTTTAGATTTCATTTTGAGTTAAAATAAGTTTTGTGTGTCACTTTATTAAAATATTTCATATTTAACGGCCCTGCTCCCAGAGATAGGTGTATTTAACCTGAAAATCATGTGAAACAGCTTAATTGCACGAGGGTGGACTCCATTCGACTAATTATGTGACGTCTAAAGACAATTGGTTTCACTAGAGCCTATATAGGTGTGTCATAGTACTTATGCAGTCGGCCATTTACTGTTTTGTATTAATAATACATTAAGGAGAATCTGTAGAACTTTGTGTTCTACAGTTTGTTTGCTTCATGACATTATAGAGTGTTTTGTCTTGTTCAGTGGCACAAAATACCAATTAAATACATTATGATTGTAAGACAATAAGAAAAAGTCCAGGGGGTTTGAATGCTTTTGATAGCCACTGCAGCTCAGAGTTGCTGACATAACAAATCTCCTTTCAAAACAGCAGCGAAAGGGTAGATGTTCCAAAGCTATGTGGTCTATATGTTCCACACTCTGTTCCACACAGGAGGGAACACTGATTGCAAGATTCCGTGCGGCATGTACAGTAATTGTACCAAGCTGTAAACGAAAACCAAGACTCAGTAGGTGTAACAGTGCCAGGAATGCCATGCAGACCTTTGAAAAGATTTCTCAGAGAAGTTTGCAGAATAAAATAATATGAACATTTAAGCACTTCTTTACCTTTGTTATTTCATTCAGGATCATCTGGTATGACATGACCCCAGACTTTTCACACCTATGAGTTTCACCTGGTGGGATTTCACAGCTGTAACCTGAATAGCTGGAATCTCACTTACCCGATGCACACAATGCATTCACACCATGCGGTCCATTCAGAGAAACCATACATGTCACAAGGTTAAGACCTAAGGACATTTTGTTGAAATTACTGCTCAGTAGCACAGTTTATCTCAACTCTAGCTTTGAAATATTAGTATTGGAAGTATGTGGCTGTAGTCCTTACCACACCCTTAGAAGGTTTGGAGTTTCTGGCATGTTGTTTTAGAGCTTTGCCTTCTAATCTGTTTTTTTTTATGCATAGTTGATTTTGATGTTAATGTCATAACAGGTGATTTTTTCAAAGATGATCTCCCAAAGGCAGACCTGTACATCCTTGCCAGAATTCTGCATGACTTGCCAGAGGAAAAAATACACATCTTGTTGAGCAAGCTGTCAAAAATGTGTACGCCAGGTAAGGAAAGAAAAAATAAAATTAAATGTGCTTTCCATCTTAACCCTAATTTCTTAACTGTATACATTAACCACAAGAGAATGTGTAAAATAACTTTTAGGAGTCATGTTTAGTGGGTGATTTTTATAGTACTGAATGTTTCCTGGGCAACAAGGTGGAGCACTGGTTATCATTGCTTCCTCGCAGTGCTGGAGTTCAAGTTTGTCTGTTCTCCCTGTGTTTGTGTGGGTTTCCTCTTGGTGCTCGAGTTTCCTCCCAGAACCCAAAGGCCTACTGGTACTTTAATTGGCTTCTGGGAAAACTGACCCTGGTGTCAGTGTTTGCATGTCTGTGTCTGTATGCGCCCTGCAATGGACTTGCAACCTGTCCAGGGTGTATCCTGCTTTGTATCCTTTGCCTGCTGGGATAGGCTCCAGCTCCCCCACAACCCTATTTAGATAAAGTGGTTAGATAATGGATAGATTTTACTAAAATGTCAATATTTTATTGGAGAGTGCTCTTGGCCTCACCAGGACTGTGAGCTCAAGTTTACTTGCTTTGACTCTAAAAAGAAAGCTGGGCCTTTACTGTACTTTGCTTTTTTCATACTTAACGCTCTTGCAAGATTTGTTCGATGCTTTGTAAAGATGCAGAGAATAAGTAAAAAAGTCACATCTCGTTTTTTTCAAAAAAGAAAACCTGCCACATCCATTTGTTTGAAATGTCTAGGCTGTGGGCTGCTGGTAGCTGAAATCTTCCTGGATGAAGAAAGGAAAGTCCCCTGCAGAGCTCTTCTGCAGGCTCTTGGCATGTGTGAGGGCAGCCAGAGAAGTGCACCCGACTACAGCCAGTTACTGAAGACGTATGGCTTCACTGAAGTGCACGTCAAACACACAGGAAACTTTCTCGATGCAATCCTCTGTGTAAAGCAGTAACCTGCTGCGACCATTTCAGGTGGCTCCGAGTGGAATATCTTTAGAATGTGGAAGACCTTTTATCTACTTTCTTGAAAAGAAATGTTTACCTCTCTTCATGAACATGATGTTGTCACCATACTTTCATAAATCTGGAATAAAATAATATTAACATTTAAGCTCTTCTAGTGATCTGTTATTTTACAAATATTTCAATGTGCAGACTACTGGAAAGAATAACATACATAGGTACATAAGAGCAGTGAGAGGAGAGACTATTCAGCCTGTTTAGTTGCTTGCTGGTAAATTCGGATTAAATATACAGACATTTCTTGATGTTCAATACCACGAATGGGTAGCTTGTTCCCTAATAACATTTTGTGATCCCTTTCAGTATAGAGCCTTCTTTAAGCTTAGAATGTATGTGCCTGCACATTTTAACATTAAAGGCCATTCCTTGATTTAAATTCTTCAATTAAAAATATATATCCAAGAATGTTAGTCAGAACCTTCACATAAACACATGCATAGAATTTTCAAATCAAGGATTGCAATGTTAAAATTGTTCTTTGCGCCATTAAGATCTCGTGTAGAATTCTGTATTAAGTTGTCACCTTGATATGAAAAGATTTTGCTTCATTGGAATCTATTCACAGAAAGGCAACCTGATACATTTCCAGGCTCAAAGCAATGTCCTTCACTGTAAAGATAAAAATGAAATCTTTTTAGTCTTGTACTGAGAAGACTGTGATGGGATAGGCTTCAAAATCCTCAAACACGGTGATAAAGTTAATCCAATGGCCTTCTTAATTTGCAGGATCTGCTGCACTACTGGCAGAGGCAGATTTGGATGAGGGAACTCCACATACCAGCAGAGCTTTTTTGCAGTCCTTGAATATGCTGGTTCACACTGAGGGAAGGGAAAAGACCACACTGCAGTATAAAAATGTGTTACAAAATTACGGCTTTGTGGTTGTGCAGGTCAACCACACTGGGAACTTTCTGGATGCTATTTTGTTATTCAAAAAATAAATCATTTGTTGAAGACGCTCTGAGTGTCGTTCAGCCTATTTCTAATAATTTCTTCCTGCCGATGTACGGAAGGTTATTTCCAGCGTCCCTAAAAATGCTCTCATTCTTCTTCAGGTTGATTTAAACTTATAAGTCCATACATTTCTGCCTGGGAGAATTGAAAACATCACTTTCAATTGAGGAAGGCTTGTCTATACTAAGCCAATTGAAGTATATACAGTACTTTTTCTCATATGTATTTAACATTAAACCTAGAGAGCAAAGGCGTTTTCTATGAGTGGAAGCAAAACAGAGTTTGCAGAGTGAGATGTGATGTGTCTATGCATCTCAGTTTGGGAGCTGAAACATCTCTTGAAGTCAATATAACATTCTTACATAATATTCTTCTGCAAATTCGATAGTGTGGGTTTTTTGTACGCAAGAGATTATTTGTTCACGATTCTGGTCTGGGCAGCTTCAGGGGTCAGCTACTGTGCCTGTACATTTTACTCATGCATTCAGTTTACAGCTGACTCGTGTTCTTTTTTAGAACAAATGAACACAAGGACTACAGTTACTCGACCCTGCTATAAGTCAATCAAGGCTATAAAACTTAGCAATACCACACTGAAATAATTACAAATAAGTAATCAACCCAAATTTGGGATTTTCTAAATTTCTATCTTGTATTTTGTAGACAAGGGATGGAGGAGATTAACAAAATATTTGAATGTGGAATTGTGATAGTTTTAAAAAAAATAGTAACAGGTAACGGGTTTATTCCATGCTGAAAAGAAAAAGGAAACACAATGTTGCTGCTATGGAGCCTTCTTCAGGTGTTCAGGTGTTTTTTTAAATGATGGCATAGCGCCTCCTAGGTGCAAAAAGCGTACAACACCTGGTATTCCCAGGCGGTCTCACGTCAAAGAACTAACCAGGCCCAACCCTCCTTAGCTTCTGAGGTCGGACGTATTCAGGGTGGTGTGGCTGTAAGCGATGAAAGCAGTCATTTAATCTCTCTTTGTATTTTACATTCCACGTCTCATTAAATTATCTAACACCTGACTACTTTTTGTCTATATGTTAGTTAAGCAAGTGAAAATAGGAATTCGTGCAGTATCCCAGTTCGGCTGCATCCAGCATTTAAGCGTCTCTCTTCATCTAAAATTATTTCCCACTTTCCACCTATGGGAGCATTGTAGGTGGAGGTTGTTGCCAGTATCGTATTATCTATTTTGTATGGTCATTGTGATTTATCTCTTTCCTTTCACAAGTTTCGATTATTATTTCTCTGACAATTTAAATCTCAGCTCGCGTAGCTTGACAAAATTAATCGCAATTTAAATTATTATACATATTAGTTTCCACTCATATCAATAGTCACGATTTGTATTTGATGCATCAGTCGTTTATTTGTATATACTTTTAGAAATTAAATATAAGCAATTTTATAGATTTTTTTTCTACTCTTAGCACCTATCAGAACTAAATTCCGCGGAAATCTCGCGATGTTCTGTCCAGTACCAAAGCATCACGGTAATACGTAGCTCCTCCATTTTGTCCGGGTTTAGCGGAGGAAGTGTAGCAGTACCGGGGTCAAAGCTATCGCTGTGTCTTACGGCCTCTGTCTTTTTCAAGCGCGCCTACCTGACGGTTTAAACAAATTTGCTGCTTGCCATGGCGGACCAAGCCATTTCTTTTGCTAAGGATTTCCTCGCTGGTGGAGTTGCTGCTGCCATATCTAAAACCGCAGTGGCCCCTATAGAGAGAGTGAAATTGCTGCTGCAGGTAAGGTTGATTGTAATTGAGGAGTAGGGATTACTGGGCAAAGACACTGGAATAGCACATGTGTACATTGCTGTAGGTCAGGGATCTAATGCATTGTATAAAACTTAATTTTGCTTTGAGAAGTTGTCGCAAAATGCAGTTGGCTCTAGCAACCTTCAGCGTTCTCCTTGAACAGCCATATTGAAGTCCTCTTCCAATTACCGCTGGCTAAAGCATCGTTTTCAAATCTTTTTCAGTCCGTTAACATAATTCTAGGATCATTGCATAGCTCGCGGTAGACTTTGTACGCCTTTATCATTTATGTTAATAACTGGAAATGAGAGTAACCTTGACTCCCTCGTGTTCAAATCTGCACCTATTAACTGTGATCTATGTCTAATTCAGTTACCTAAATAGTTTCTAGATGAAAATCCTCATCGTTAACTGCATCATTAACGATGCATTCACTAACGCGTAGACTTTAAGAGCAGTATCAAAAGCGATGTACAACACTATTTTATAGCCAAGCTGTTACGACAAGGCCCCAGTGGCTCCTGACCTTTAACTGAAGATTGTCGTTTCAAATCCCAATTTAAGAACAACTTCTTTTAATATGAACATCTTTTTCTTATTCAACTTTTGTATTGTATGCTTGAGTGCTGTACTTTTCCCAGATTGCTTCTATTCAGGCAAGAACAGAAAGTGTAAGACTATATATACTCCATACATACAAACATGTAGTTATCTCAAGTATGTCTTGTAAATAGTATAACAACCCTGCTCACTGTACATTAAGTCACCAATTGTGTCTCGTTACTGTGATTTTTTGGGTGTTAAATGTATTATCCAGTATTTATTGCATTTACCCAGGTAGGGTGGTAATAGACATTTTTCTTCAGGGTTACTGATATTTTATAAAAGTTCTTCATTTTAAGCAGGATGCTTTCAGCAAAAAAAAAAACTGTTCTCTGCTGGTTTTATTTTTGAAGGGGTATTTCAACAATTGTTTCATTTATTCATGCAAGGAGATGCAGATGGAATATTTAGAGCGCGGTGACTAGCAACATTCCTATCACTTTTCCACAGGGGAATTTACGTATGTACTTCATGAGGTTTACTTAAGATACGATCTTTGCGCTCTTTAATGACCCTTTTTGCTGAACACACTAGTCAGGGTCAAAGTGTAAATGACATAATTTTCCTGACTTTCCTTCCAGGTGCAACATGCCAGTAAACAGATTGCTGTTGACAAACAGTACAAGGGCATCATCGACTGTGTGGTGCGTATCCCCAAGGAGCAGGGCTTCGTCTCGTTCTGGCGTGGCAACCTGGCGAACGTCATCAGGTACTTCCCCACGCAGGCCCTGAACTTCGCCTTCAAGGACAAGTACAAGCAGGTGTTTTTGGGGGGAGTCGACAAGCACAAGCAATTCTGGCGCTACTTTGCCGGGAACCTGGCATCGGGGGGCGCCGCTGGGGCCACCTCTCTCTGCTTCGTGTACCCTCTTGACTTCGCCCGAACCCGTCTGGCTGCGGATGTGGGCAAAGCCGGGGCCAGCAGGGAGTTCAACGGGCTGGGCGACTGCCTCGTGAAAATCTTCAGGTCGGACGGCCTTCGGGGCTTGTACCAGGGCTTCAATGTGTCGGTGCAGGGCATCATCATCTACAGGGCAGCCTACTTTGGCATCTACGATACAGCTAAAGGTAAATGATAATGAAAACCCTTGTCTTTTGTGACCTATTCAGGAAATATAGTGATCAAATCTGATTTATCCTATTAAGTGGTGGGCCCTTTTTATTCACTAAGAACATATTTTATAGTACATGGAGGGGTGGGGTGGGGTTTTGACATTCATTTGACTTTGCAATGCAGTGTCCTTGTTGTTCAAGAGTTGTTCTGTGTTGCAGCAATCTGATACAGGTGCTGATTGTGGGACTCCTGGTAGTTTACTTCCTATCACCTTTCATTGGAGCACAGTACTTCCTACATACAATTAATTCACTCTATGACTTCTATAGAGTAGATATCACATACATACATAAAGCCTTCGCTGATTACTTTTTGCTGTGAACAGGCCCTGAGAGGAGCTCACATCATTTCAGTGTAATTGAATAGGCTTCCAAGGAATTTAGTTCTTTACAGAATGAGGCATTTTCCCTCAGCATAAATCTTAGGTTAGTGTGCAACACAGAAGTAAAACGCACTGAAAATGTAAATCCAACTGGATGTTTTCTATGAAGAAGATCATCTTTCTTTCAGGTATGCTCCCTGACCCCAAGAACACTCACATTGTGGTGAGCTGGATGATCGCCCAGACTGTGACTGCAGTGGCTGGCGTGATGTCTTACCCCTTCGATACTGTGCGCCGTCGTATGATGATGCAGTCTGGACGTAAAGGAGGTAAAAATTCCAAGATTGTGTGGCTTTGTGAGAATCATCAGGTCTGGCTAAAGAGAATATGCTTCTCAAGTTAATTATGCCATAGATACCTAGTAATCGTTAAGAACAGTGTTTGTCCTTACTACATTCATTTTCTAAATCATATATTACTGGGGAGTGTTTGACATGTTTGCCATCAATCCTTCTGCAATTTCACTTTATATATTTTCATTCATCAAAGCCATATAGGTGAACACAAGGTAGGGCAATGATACTTGGCATGTTAGCGAAACTATGCCGTGCACATCCCTGTTCAATAGCTGTATGCTGTGAAAGAGTCACCGGTGACAAATTACCTATATGGGAAAAAAGCTGATTGCATAGTGAATCCTGGAGAGCAGTGGTCCTGCAGGTTTTATTGGCAGCCACAAAAGGTCAGTGAGTGAAATCTTGAAAGCGTGTTAGCTCTTCGTAGTTAAGCAATTGATTGATCCTATTAAGTTATTTAGAGCTCAACTGGAATTAAACTAGAAGACACTGTAGCTTTCCAAGATCGGAGATGCATACCTTTGGACTGCTGAGAGAGTGGTGCTGTTTTGCTTCTCTCTTTCTTGATTTGTGGGGCCAATGTGATATCTTCGTCTTTTTCTTCTTCGACAAAGAACAAAACTGTACCTTGGACGCGATCAGTTTCCCTCAAAAACGGTAATGGTTTTCAACCCAAAAATCAAACACGTTTTACTTTTTTGCACAAGTGAAGTTCATCCTCTTCATGTAGAATCATTACACCCATGTATAGGAAGCTCATTTGAATTCCACAGGTTTTATTTTTCTCTTGGCGGAAAAAGTGAGTATACAGAGTGGTGTGATACACTTCAGATTTGAGTACTGGACGAATTCTTCTCGATATTCAGCCTTTGTACTTCAAAAGCTGCACTATTCCTAAGTTATATCAAAACTATTTTCTGATAAGTCAGATCAGTATTATGCTTCTGAATGCATATGTATTTTCATTCCTGTTCCTTTTTTGTTCACAGCGGATATCATGTACACTGGAACCATTGACTGCTGGAAGAAAATTGCAAAAGATGAAGGTGGAAGAGCTTTCTTCAAAGGTGCATGGTCCAATGTTCTTCGAGGCATGGGGGGTGCCTTTGTACTTGTCCTGTATGATGAATTCAAAAAGATTGTCTAAGCTTGTTCCATCATTGTCTTAGAAACATCATTGTCTTGGGAACAAAGATATTGACCATTGTAGAATAACAGTACTACTAAGGACCATTAAGCCTATTCAGATTCTTAAAAATTCCAGTATTTATGGAGTCAAGGTAAAACCTAGCTCTTGAAACGTAGTGGCCAACTATGTTCTCAGTGCATTGAGCTGTGTACTTTCCACTTTTAAGCACTATGTACCTTTTATTTTTTTGCACATCTTCAATTTTCTTATGTTTTAGACTGGGTCATTCTCCTCCAGTACAATAAAAAACCCCAAAACTAAACATTGTATCATCTCCATTATTCTTTAAGTGTGTGTCCTCGGCTATCTTCCTAATTTGGCTTTGCTCGGCAATTTGAATTTTTTTCAGTCGAGCACAAAAAAAATTTCTGTGTTGGAATGATGAGTATTTTGTTTGCAATTAATGTATAATTGTCCAAGGATTCACAGTTTATTTACTTTACCATTCACAAATTTAAAGTTTATATTGTTTTTTTAACTCCCAGGGCAGTTTAGACCTTCAGTAGAAGTGTAATTCATTTACAAAGTCCTGAATAAGATGAATAGGTGAATAAATAATTTTCCAAATCTATTCTAATCGTCTCAATTGTTCACAAAATTAGCATTGTTTTTTCTGTGGTGGCAGCACTGAGGGGAGTTGCAATGTGTCAATATTTCCTCAAGGTGGTGCTAAGAATGCATTTTCTCTGGCTCAACTCAAAAAGTCTATTCTGCAAGTTTTTTTTTATAATAATTGCTTACACTTATATAGTGCTTTTCTGGACACTCCACTTCAAAGCACTTTACAGGTAATGGGGACTCCCCTCCACCACCACCACCACCAATGTGCAGCATCCACCTATATGATGCGACGGCAGCCATAGTGTGCCAGAGCGTTCTCACACAGGTGAGGAGAGCAGAGTAATGTAGCCAATTCATAGAGGGGGATTATTAGGAGGCCAGTACAATAAAAAAAACCAAAACTAAACATTGTATCATTGTATCATCTCCATTATTCTCCATTATTCTTTAAGTGTGTTTTAAAGAAACGCCCTGGGATATTTAATGACCACAAAGAATCAGGACCTCGGTTTTACATCTCATCTAAAGGACAGCACCTGCTTACAGTATAGTGTCCCCGTCACTATACTGGGGCATTAGGACCCACATGGTCTGCAGGGTGAGTGCCCCCTGCTGGCCCCACTAACACCTCTTCCAGCAGCAACCTTAGTTTTTCTCAGGAGGTCTCCCACCCAGCTACTGACCAGGCTCACACCTGCTTTACTTCAGTGGGTTGCTAGTTGTGAGTTGCAGGGTGATATGGCTGCTTTTTGTTCTGAGCTCAACAAAAATGACAAACATTTGCAAAGGCATTCATCTTTATATATATTATATCCCTGTTATTGTAGTGGAAAAAACACCAATCGAGGCAAGTTTCATTTAGCCAAGGCTTTTCACTTTATTTCTATGTACAATAGTTATAGTACATTTGACATAGCAAAATACATTTTATTTTTTGAAGTGAGATGAATATTGTTTAAAATGCCTTGATCCTGATTGTCCTGAATATCTATTGTTACTGGAATGCAAGGACTAGTTCTGGCATTCTAGTGTATGTTGAAGTAGTTGAATACCAACTAAGTTAATTTTGTTCCCCAGAAAAGAAAAGTTAGATGAGCATAGTGATTTTAAAACCGAATGCATTGGAAATCATGCATTAGTGTTTAGCAGGACTGTCCTGTAATACTTGTTTAAATACCTTGAAGTTCTTGAACATGCGGACATGGTAAAAAGAAAAAGCAGTACAGTTATTGCAAAAAAGATCTGTATAATTAAGCTCTAAATTATCTGCTTGAATCTGCCCTTTCTGTTTTTACCTGTCACATCACCAGGTATAGATTGGTGCTCTTCCCAGTGGTTTTCACCGCTTAACTCTTGTGCATATTTAGTAAGCAATGCAGCTTCATCAAAGAATCACACTGGTTCATAGTTGCCTGAAACCATCATGCCATCTGATGTTCTTCAGGACAGCTTATCCTGGAGCATCCCAACATTTATACAGACTGTTATTCTCTGTTGGAATTTAAATAACTTCTACTGGCACTTGTAATCTCTGGCAGTAGTCCCTTTCCCCCTGAAAACAAAATATATATTGTATAGTCAGAGCTGTCAAAAGCCAGAATTCGAGGTTACCAGGATCATCTGTAATTGTTCTTAACAACTCGAAGAACAATTGCAAATGAGGTTGTGCCTATCTAGTATTATTTTCAGTAGCTAATTTATCTGGGGATCACACCTCCTTAGTATTACAACTGCTGTTTGTCTAATAAGCACAAGAAATTGTTACATATTGATAGCTGGGTGGTGTGGCGGTACAGTGGTTTGCTTTGATTCCTCACAGTACAAGAGCTCTGGGTTCAGTCCATGGGGTGCAAACTACTGGAGTTTATATGTTCTCTCCATGTTCATGTGAGTTTCCTCCCATAGTCCAAAGACCTACATGTAGGTTAATTGGCTTGTGTAAAATCATCCCTGGTTTGTGCGTTTGTTTGTCCGTGGGCCCTATAATGGACTGCTGTCCCGTTCAGGGTCTTTGCTGCCTTGTGCAATTTGCTTGCTCTGATAGGCTGCAACATCCCCTGAGACCTTGTACTGGGTAAAGTGGTTTAAAAAGGATGGATGGATTCATAGCCTGTTCAAATTCAGTCTTAGTTGCAAGAATTAGTGATACATGATATCAATAATGCTACAGTATAACCTGTAGAAATTGAGTGCATTTTGGAACAAACTACCCATTAATGTTTTTGATGTAGATATTCTTGATCTTCCTTCAAGAAAATGGAAGAGTGAGATCCTTAGATCAGTAAACTACTAAGAACCAGGCGTAATAAGGGCTAAAAAGCCTCTTCTCTTTTGTAACCTTTCTTAAACCGATATGCTGTTAAAGAATGTGCAGAATGAGGAATTTAAAAAATAAAATAATTTGATTAAACATTTAAATTGCATAAAAAGAAAAACTTGTTAGAATCAAGGCCTACAAACCCCGTAGATGATATCGGGCAGCAGAGTTTAATGATGGACAGTAAGGGAAAGAGGGTGGTGTAATTACAGGAATGTTATAACAGGAGTGTGTGCGTCAGAGGTATTCAGTTACCCACATAATTTGTGCAATATTCTCTTATTGTACAACATCCAGTTCAAGTAGTATGCACAAAGGGAACCTTAGGATGATCATTGTAAATTGTAAGGTGATTTATCTGAGTGCTTACCTTGCCAAAATTTAAAAACCATTCAGCCATCTTTTCTTTGGGATGTGGGATTGCAGGGAATATTTTATCAATAAGCTTGTACCTGAAAAGTTAAAGCCCTCTGGTGAATATTTTCACAAATTATCGTGAACTCCGCTCCTAATAAATATGTAAGTCATATGTAATATGTTACTCAATACAGTAATATGGTTTACAATGCGAGACAATTTAAACATGGACCCTATACACTTACCTTTTGAAAACATATAATAGGATCAGCGTCAATATTAGAGTTAATGTCGCCAGAGAAGTAAAAATGAGAACATCTGAATATTTTCCTGTACCTGTGGAAGAAAATAATAAAAATCTATGAATAACCACACATGTACAGTATAGTACTACTGGAATGCAAGTGGAAACATTGAAGGACGCATTAATGTTTAAACAATATTCATTCCAGCGCAAAAAGGATCATACTAGAATTGCAACATGACTTAGGCTTTTATAGAGAAAATAAGGAAGTGCTTCTTACCTTCATATGTTTCCTCAGTCCATTCGCTCCATATATTACCAAAGCCACAGTCTTTTGTACCTCTCACTCGGAGTTTAAATGCATATCTTTTAGTGATGTCTGTCTCTGTGGTGTAGGATGTCTTTTCATTTAGAGTGATATTTTCCTGATTTGGAAAATAAAATTGGATTATTGGACAGTTGCTGAATGGAGGTACCTTAATTGTACCCTTATTAAACCTTTTTTTTACCTTATGTTTTGAATCCATGCCTTTAATGATTAACTGGTATACAAAGCAGTTTTTCATTATTGGATCTTTTGTAGGTGGCGGTTTCCAAAACAGTGAAAAAGATTCCTTTTTCAACGAATATCTGAAATCTAAAGGTGGATTTAGTTTTTCTGAAAGGAAAAGGTATAAATCAATTTAGATTACATGCTTTTGGTAAGTAAATCGATTTTGAATAAAGCAAACTGCATAATACTCATTCATTTTATTTCATTGGTTTGGGTTGCTGTCATTATTGTGTGCTTTCTCTTTGGATGAATGTTTTCAGCTGGCTCATTTTCTACAGATAGAGGTTGATAATGTTAATGCACAACTTTAAACAAATAACAATTTAAGATGATGTTTTGTGATACTTTTATTTCAATTCTTGAAGCACAAAAAGAGATTTTATATCTTTCAAGTACTTGCTGTTTACTTCATCTACATTCTCTCATTCTGGTATCACCCATGATGCCTAGTAAGGTATGGTGTAGTGACTTGGTGATGTTTAGGGGTTGGATGAAATTATGAGGGACATGAAAACTAATTGAAATACAATTGTTGAGATCCATTTTGCGGCATCTGTAAATTTCCTGTTTAATTCCCAGAGAATAATCGGTTGAATTGAAAACAACACAAATACCCAATTGTTGTAAAGGTTATGAATAATAGATGTCACTTTTTGTTGACCATGGTAACGACAGACTGCAAATGATAACAGTGTAGTGTTGACAAAGGTTTAGATATTGTGCTGAATCATCACACGCAAAAAGAAAATACGCTTCCTTACCAATTTCATATGGTTCAAACATCTGTGAGAATGACAGGTTTGGAAGCAAGCTGACTGACACATTGATTTGAACAGTGAACTGCACATCCCTGATTATTGAGATGCTCTGAAAATGGCATTTGTTCCTTCCTCTTCGATTGTCTTTCAGATACACTGGACATTCTTTCACCTGTCCCATTTGCCTGATAAAAAACATATTTACAGTAAGAATAAAGAAAAGTCAGTTCACTGTAGTCATCATAAAGTGTACTCTAAGTGTACAAAATGTGTAAATTGCACTCACCAGAAACCTAAAGTTGACTGGCATTCTGTCATTGCTGGGTACCAGCTGCAGTTCAGAGATGTGACATTGTAAATGATGCATTCAACGGAGGACCCACTGGGCAAATCTGAAAATAAGCAGCATGTTACACCAGTCACATTCCATCTGAAAGTGAATTGATTGACTGTGTGTAGTGGCATTTTGTGAAAGACTTTTAGATTCACCAAAGTAAAATTTACGCTCCGGTATAGGTTTTCGTTATAAACTCTTTTCTATGACATTTCAATGAAGTCTACTGTGTATGGGTTTTTTGTCATCTTGAAATATGAAATTATGTCCAATACCTTTCCAAGTTCCTAATTCTGGATTGCCAAAACTAAATACAGTTATTCCGGTAGGTTAATTGGCTTCTGGGAAAATGGTGCAGGTGCCTTGGTGTGTGTCTGTGTCTGTGTGCCCTGTGATGGACTGGTGTCCTGTCCTTGGTGTATCTTGGATTGTGACCATGGCTTGAAGGATATCTCCCCCACAACCCTGTATTGGATCAAGCAGTTAGAAAAAGGAGGAACGGATTGTAGCTCCCATGCCGATAGGAGAGCTTGTGAAAAGTCCTAACCATTAGAAAAGAGAAATAATACATACAGTATAATCAACAAGTATGGCACTATTTCGGGGGGTTTCTCTTGCACTGTATCTTATCATATGCACATACATAAGAGTTCTAACCTGTAGAAGCAATTAGATGTTCTGGTGAAATGTTAAGATTTCTCTATCAGCATAATAAATGGGTCTGGTGTAAAGGACCTTATTGCACCATCAAGTACAACATATAAATATTGTTCAAAGCGTTTTCATTCACCAGACACCGAGTGTATGTTTACTGTATATACGCGTATTATGTTTTGTTCTAGGGATGCAGTTATGGCTGTTGACAGGGTCAGAAGAAGTGCAACATAACAACATTGTTGAAATACATCTGGGTGGTACTGAGAAAACCTAGAAACAGTGACAAAGAATTGTCATTTTACCACACAGCTTCATTTCGCGCAGTCTAATTCTTGGAATTCTTGAAAGCGGTACAAGAGCAGAAAAGGAAAAAGAGATCAACTTTTTCATGTGAAACTTTCAAGGTCGTTTGTGACTGAAATTAGATTTCAATGCTGAAGACGTATTTTGAGGCTTTTAAAAGGTCAGTTTTTTCCACACATTAGTATGAGTGACTTATTGTGCAGAAGAAGTCAGAGTATCATTTTCGCAAAAAGATCCGGGTAGCTTGTTCTACAGGCTTCTGGCTCTCCTGTTTTCAGCTTTAAACGTGTTTTCCACATTTAATATTACCACTAAAATAGCTCTTTAAATCCACCTGTCATCGTTGTAGTCTAAAATGCCTTTCTGACAAGTACATAATCATAGCATAACACATCTAGGTGTACACTGGTTTAGGATATGAGCCAGTCTTGGTCCCCAGTTTAAATGCTCACTTTGTGTACATGTGCCTCACGCCTGCAGATTTCTTTAATGGATCATAACTACAGTACATACTGTGGTATCCCAGTTGTGTGGCACGGACCCCATTTATGAAATATTCATGTACTGTTACTTCTTTCTTTTAATTTAGCTGTTGTTGAATGTTTTTGAACATTATCTACTCTAATAAGCCAGCTATTATTATTATTGTGGTGTATAGTATATAGTATCCCAGTTGTGTGGCACGGACACCATTTATGAAATATTCATGTAGTGTTATTTCTTTCTTTCAATTTTGCTGTTCTTGAATGTTTCCTGATTTCTGCCTAGCTCCAACAATGTCAGCCAAGAAGTGAATAGACAATCACTCATTAAATTATTATTAATATTATTACTTATTTGTATTACTAAAGTGGATGCTGCTCAAAATAGCAGAATTGTCCAATTTCCCCACAGTACTGTTCTCCGCATGATATAAAAATGAGGTTTGTATGGTGATGTCTGTACTGTGGAGCACCAGAGACATAATAATAAGGTCTGAGCCCTGTAAAATTGAATTAGTTTCTGTGAACAGATGCCAGTTTAAAGAAAAAATCAGTTTCCTCTCCAACCTTAGCAGGAACATAAGACACACTTATTTTAATTAACCTCTTTTCATTGCAATTTAAAATCCTCAACAGTAGATAAAAAAGCAAATCCAATATTTTATTAGTGGCACTCCAGTACTAGAATCGCATTGAACCATCATTTATTTTCTTTCATAACCGGTTCAGAATATAAAGAAAAAAATCAATTGAGTATAAAAAATCATATTATGAACAGGATTTATCCATTAAAAAGAAGCATTCCTCTCCATTTTTCTTTTTTGTTGGATTATTTGATGACCTAAAGGATTACATTTGCATAATCTGCACCATTTAGAGGAGAGCAAAATTATTTGTGCATTTATTTTCAAATAGTCTCCATTGCATTATATTAGAAAATGGGTTAGGAATAGCAATGCTTGATGTGGGCTAATTTAATATTATGATCCACAACTCACAAGTCAAACGCAGTAACTCGGACGCAGAACCCAAGTATGTATCTGAGCCCTTGTCTGCAAAACAGATTTTAATGTTTTCTGTATGATGGATGATGCGCAGTCAGTTAACCACACCATTTAAGCCCTTAATGATGAACTGCAGTAATTCTGAAATCCACATAGTCAGTGCAAGGAAGCTAAAATATGTGATAAAATACTCCCATATGTAAATTTTAGTTATGTTCGGAGCAGCTGAGTTCTGAACATGCAGCAATTTGTTAAGATGTTTGGATACACCAGCAAGTGCTGTGCTACATTAATCAAGCCTGGAAAAGACAAAGGCATGATTAACTTTTCAACATCAAACAGAGAGATGGGAGAATTGTGCGTGGATACAAGTGCAAAAAAGATACCTTCACAATATGGAAAACATGAGCTTTAGATCAAGGTTTGAATCAAAGATGATATCAAGATTTTTGACACATGTTCCTGATCTGATTGCAAAATAATCAATAGTCAAAACTAATGAAAGTTAACCTGACACAGTTGCAGACACATGCGTCTGACTCCTCCAGAGACTCTTTTCTCACAATCTCTTTGTCAAAGTTGCGCATTTAAGCTTATCCTTCACTATGAATATTCATGCTCACTGTACAAAAGAATAGTCTTACTCTATATTATGTTAACAAATCATCATCATACTTACTATCTTCTTGCTGATTTCTGATTTTCTCACAATCTGTCAACATCACGAAAATAAAACAACCCAAAATCACTTTCACGACTGTATCCATTTAGATAAAGTTGTGCTTAAAAATAGAAAAGAGTTGTGGAACAGGTCTGCGAAAAATTAAAAGCTGTAGTTGTCTTGGTGGTTGAGTAATCTAGAAAGAGATACAAACCTGACTCACAGTTACAGTTTTAAAAGTTTATGAACACACCCATAGTTTTGCAAAACACCCATAACCACAAAGAAAAAAAGGAATATGGTGTTTATATTATTTTTTGCATTAAAGAAGTTTAAAACTCTATTTATACACATTTGTTTTTTGGAAAAATAAAGTATACAGATTTGAGATTTTTGATTAAATGCTTTTGACTTCATTTTACTAACGATTATTCACAACTGATGACTGATCGTGATGTACTTGACTGACTGTTGCATAAGTAGAAGATCTCCTTAGTGAGATAGTTAAAAGGACACATGCAATGAGATTATATCACCTTTTGAATATCAAGCCCAGAAGAAAAAAACTCGTACAAGAACAAATATGACGTGATTATGAAGAGAGAGCACCTTTGTGCCGTCAGTGTGTTGTAGACCGGACACCTCAGAAGGACTCACAAGCAAAGTTACCCAAATGATCATGCCTGAGGCACAGACTTGTACAAAGATAGAATGTAAGAACCTAAGAAAGGTTAGAAAAGAGAGGAGGCCATTTTTCTTATATAGCTCCCTTGGTAGTAGTTAATTGATCTAAGGATCGCTACCCAGCTGTTTCTTGAAGAGCACCAGGATATCATCTTCAACAATGTGGCTGGGTAGCGTGTGCTGCCTTTGCTTATAGAAAATCTTTTTTATCATGAATAGTACAGTAATTCAACCATGCATACAAATATCCTGCTGAAAGAATCCATCAGACAGCTGATTTTGTCACTCGGCAGCACATGTATTGAGGCTGGAAAACAAAAATCAGCAAGGCTGTGAATGAAATAAATACTTTTTCATTTTGGTCAGAAGTCAAGCCGTAACTGTTTAAGAGTATCACCATGGTAAAAGACAGACTGCCATTGCACTTCGCACAACAATATCTAGTGGAAATACGGTTATAGTTCACTAACTACGATGTCATTGCTGTGTCAAGACAAGCCAGTAGTGACACTGCAAAAAGAACACATCTCCATTCTCAGACTGAAGACCACCCTTGCAACAGAGATGGCCCTGGTAATAGCTCAGTGTTGCCTCCACTGAATGTGTTGTGGAGGAAAGAGGATGAGTTTGGGCACATTCCTGGAGAGCAGTTTCAGCATCAGGAGAAAACCTGAGGAAGACCCCCCAGCTCTTTTGCCTACATTAACATTAGAAACATTACATTAGTTAACATTAGAAACAGAGTTTCCACTGCTTTGTAGTATGACACATAGACAAGGCTCTGCGTATTAAATGACCTGCTGTGACTGCCTCCTACCAGTTTCTACCAGGATGTGAGCTTCCCGAGACTTATTTTTACAGAGGCAGTTAGAAAATTGCCTACATGTTCTCAGTGGAGACTATACATGTCTGGTGACTGCAAGGCCAAGGAATGTTATGATTTCCTGACCTCTCCATGTAACAGAATAACTCTTATTCTATGAAAGCTATTGCCCTGGGGAGGAAGTTATTTTGACACGAGTTTCCCCCATCACTGGATAACTATTCCACTATGTAGAATGATTGCATCGTAAGTACTGAACTTTTTGACACATCGTGGTGAATTCTACTCAGCTGCAACATGGATTGGATGACATGGTAATGCATCTAACTATCATCTATACTCATTTTTGTAATCATGACTATAATTATTCTTATAATTGCAAAAATAAGGCAAAACGATTTACAAAAGTAAGTTGAGACGGATGAGGTAGGGAGAGGTGGGTCTTGGCGAACTGTAAGTGGTACAGTTTCGCTCTTTGAAAGGATAACAAACTCTTTATATTCAGACTGTAACATTGATAGTACATGACACTAATGATATTTACCGAATTCCAGAATGCAGTCACTCATATTTTATATGTGCACCTTTGAATGTGGGAAATATTCAGTCTCTAAACTCAAGAGATCACAAGTGTTCCTCATAATGTGACTGTAACTGTTCCTGATATCAGTGAGCCCAAGTTCTCCTGAGAACGGTTTTCATGCATGAGAAAGTTAGTTAGTTCATCCCTGACAGGAATGTTTGGTGCCAATGAATGTAAACAAAGACCAAGAAAAAAGTCCAGATTCACCAAAGTTAGTTCGGATTTAGAAAATAAATGTATTTGTATTCCTATGCTTACAGTGAATGCTACTATTCTAGATATATAATTCAGAGAAGAGCAAACCAGATATATTCCTGGGCTTAAAGGACTGTATAACACTAATTAAATTATTGAATTTAAACTAATTAAATTGAACCATTTTTTAATTTTGAGCAGACATTTCATCGAGAACACTTAAATATTCAGAATCCTTAAAGGCATTCACAAATTTAACTCGCTAGACCTAATCAGAATCAACAATTAAAGACAAAATAGTGGGCATGAGTGGAAACTGCATGAAAGATCATTTAAACACAAGATCAGGAGGCACTTCTTTACACAAGGGGTTGTGGGAGCATGGAACAAACCACCCAGCCATCTAATTGTAATTGATACCCTGGCTTCTTTTCAAGAAACACCTGGTGTCCTCGTTATATCACTACAGGAAAAAAACAAGCAAGCTAAATGTACTAAATGAACTAATTTGTAACTGTTTTTATATTCTTAGGTTCTTTAATTTAAAGAATCATCTATGCTCTGGCTCATTTGGATGAGTTCATGTGAATGTCAGGAAGATGTGAGACATGTCCTGGACATTCACGATAGTCAACACTTCATAGAGCTGATTAGAACTTGGAGACTAAAGTACATTAGCCACATCTTCAAAAAAAGGATTCTGAAAAAACTTGAGCTGTTTGCACGAGAACTGATGGCCGGCCAAATCATTGATGAGCTGAAGGCTGACCTGTCACGACTATAGTCCCCCCTCCTTAAGGGTGCTCCAGCCCTTTCACTAAAGACTTCATTCCCTGCACCTGTTTCCTATTCCCTGCCCACCTTAAAAGCCAGGCGCTGACGCTCTTCCGGGCTCTGCATCTGATTTCCATATCGTGCGAGTCCGGGACCAGGAAGCGCCTGGTCCCGTTAAGGTTTTAACCCCTGTTCCTTGTCCCTGTCCGCCGGTTCCGACCCGGTCTTCGTGGTTTTTAATTCTTGTTCTGATGGATCTCCTGGTTTTGGACTTTCTCGTGTGTTTTTGGATTTTCCCTAAGGATTACTCTTGGATTGTTCGCCTCGGCCACACCTCCCCTGTGCACCAGCGCACCTTGGACACGACCCCCTGTCTTCAGCCCCGTTTTCCAGCATGACGTTTCCCCAGTGTTCCCCCACTTCGTCGGATTGTGTCGTCCGCATAGGGTCCGGAAAGAACTGTTCGTTACATGACCTGGACCGGCTTGGTCAAGGGTGATGGGAGATGATCAGTATCCTTTCAGTATGGGGTTCATATGCTATGGAGCTGTGCATAGGTCAGACAAGTGTTGCAGAGGGTTGTGTAAATGGCAATGCTCAAAGCTTCAGAGAAGCTCAAAGATGAGCAACATGCATGAATGAATTGTAACACCTCATCTGGGGACCAGATATAGCAGTTAAACCTCCTCACAATTCTAAGACCCCATTTTCATCTGTGAACCCATCTTTCCAGTTTGTCATTGCAAATTACAGCTTGTGAAATAAATCTTTGATTCAATTTGATTTTTGATTTGATTTGATTCAATGCTATCCAAGGACTGAGAAAATTCTATATACAGAGGTTTATTTGGATCCTGAAGTAGTATAACAGTAAGCTTAGAAAATCATCCTGACATGTTTAATACCCTTAACTTATATCAATGATGTATATAGTTCCAGAATAAACATTGTTGTATGTCTCTAACTTCAGTGATATGTCCAATTTCGTTCCTTTTTTCCCATGTCTTGGGACGGCAAAAAACATTCCTGGACATTTCTTCATACAAAATGTATGCAGAATATGTTTATATTTGTTTAATCTATCTCACTTTTTTCAGGTTTCTTAGAGTACCACAACTTGATACCACAACAGTATCAGTATCAACGAACATTGACTTTTGAAGAAAGAAAAAATGAAATGTGTTCATTGTTTAATTTCTTAATCTTTTTGCATCCTTTCTAGAAAAAAATAAGACATCTGATTATTTAGACTTCATGGCCAAGGTGTTAGCTGCAATTTAAGCCATAAACCTCTAAACCTCTACTTTCCAAAATTGTGCAAGATGTTTAAGAACAGGTTCTTCCAGGAGGAACCACCCTCACCACCATCAATACAAAACAAAGTTACTCATAAGCCAGACATTCTGTCAGACAAGTTTTATACTCTGTCATTTTCCATTGTTTATTCTGTTTCTAATCATCTTTCTAAGCATCTTTCACTAGGAATAACAACACCTAGAACCTTGACCTGACTCTTTTGGCTACCCGACCTAGTTCTTTTGCCTTGGCTATGACTTTTACCTCTGGGATTTGGATGCCAATCGGTAGCAATAACCTTCTGCCTCAGTGCCCCATAGGGTCCAACCTGGAGCTCCTGACATGAGGAGTCTCAAAAGGACAGCCACACAAGTACAACAGAGTGAAGGAGGGATGCAGATCACAAATGGGAGGAAGAGAAGCAGCTTACGGATAGTATTTTCTAATGTGAGGAAATGACATCAAGAATGATTATCATTTAGGGCAGCTGAAATTGAACTTATCACTTGTTGTCATCCCTCACAAATGTTTGTTATAAACCCAATTAATTTATTCTGGTAGCAATTGTTTTAGTTTTGCTACAGCCTCGAACATTTCAGTGGGGTTAAAGATGATCAGGGTCCTGGCCAATGCACTGCAATCTTTTTCTTCCTGTGCTAGTATTAAGGTTTAATAGTGTGTCTGAGGTCATTAGCCAGTTCAAAAACAAACACTTCTGTCACAATTGCATCCCTCCTCTTAAGGGTGCTCCAACTCTTTTGTATTTTAGCTGATTATATGCACCTGTCCCCTGTTCTGCCCCTCCTTATTTAAGGCTTGTGCTCTCGCTATTCCGGGCTCAGCATTGGGAGATAGATG